ATGACTCATAAAAATACTAAAACAACTGACCAAAGCGTCAAACACTAACGTTCTAACAAATACAAGTCTAGTATCTTAATATCTTTGTGTGCCGGACTTGTGGACTTCAATAATAAATAAAAATTGACATTTCCATTATCAAAGCAATATTATAATTTATTTTATGCCTTATGTTTAGCCCAATATTTCAAATTTATCAGATGGTTCGTTTAGGCGTTTGTCAACCTGTAAGGTTGACACACATAGGCCATGCTTGGCCCATTGTGGCAGCGTTTGGGATTTGACTCGGATTTCTCTGGCACCCATGTGAACTGGGATCCAGCCCGTTGCGTTTATAAAGTTCGCAATCTTGGCTGGTCCAACTGGTTTGCCAACTTTGACAGATGGCTAGTGCAACGCGACCTTCTAGATCTATTGTGCCCCCTTCTGAGCCTATAGCTCTTCCATCAGCCCCAACTCCCTTACGAACGTGAGGATCTTTGTTTGGTTGAGGTGATCTATGTCTCCGAAATTTAAAACATGCATTCCTAGGTCGCTGCGTCTTCTTCTAGTTAAGGCGACACATTCTGCTAGGATGTGCATCGAGGATTCCTCCTCTGTTTCACAAAACCTGCAAAGATCGCTACTATATATCCCTAGTTTAGTTAGGTGACTTCTTATTCTACAGAGTCCTGTCCATAGACCGGTAAGTATCCTTCGACTGTTCTTTTTCATGGCTAACTTGCTTAAATCGTTTAAGAATATAACCACTTAGGAGACATCTGGCTTGTCGGAGTCCCACTGCCTCTGACCAGCTCTGTTGCCTGTTTTGCTCTGCTCTGTTTTGTGTCATTAGACCTGCGTATATTTATTCTCTTCTTTGATGTTGAGCTTACAGGTAGGGAGAAGAATTTATATACTTTCCTTATTTGTGTGGCTAGCTCATTAGTCTTGCAGTTGCCTTTAATGTTTTATGTCTGGCCAGGCACCCAAATTAGGCTGATAACATGCTGCTTAGCCACCTTGCGCAGAGATTTGCAACAGCTTGTTACTGACTTCGAATTTGTTGATATCGCGCTGATTGATTTGATTGCCGCTTGGCTATCAATATATATGTTAACATTACCTGAGCTGATTTCGAGCCTCGTTAGGCAATTAAGTGCTTCTCTTATGGCTAGTATTTCGGTCTGAAGAACGCTACAGTGTTTCCGAAGACTGAAAGATAGCTGTATATTGAGTTGCTCCGGGCAGATGCCTCCGCCTACACTGTTATCCAGCTTTAATCCAACTGTGAAGAAGCTTACGACAGCGGGTGGTCTGAGGATACCGTGGATCCATTCATCCTTTGGTGGAAGTACGTACGGAAGAGTGTATTAGGTTGTACTAGTGGCACAGTAATCTTTTTTTTAAGGATTCTTGTATTTCCATCTAGAATAGATGCATGACCTTTCTCCTGAGCAATCCAGACTAAGGGTTCCCTCAGGCCATGAATATTACATTTTCCATGCCTTGTCTTTGAAAACATGAAATATCCCAGAAGAAAAGCATCTGAGATGCATTGAACTTTGTTAAATTGCTTCTGAGTGGCTTTTAAGCAAGCCCACAATTTTATAACCCTATATAAAAAAAATTTTTATTTATATAGCCCTCGGAAAATTTTTGACTCCAACGAATGTCCTGCACGTGTATAAAGCGACCGTTGCCTGTCCAGTCTACTTTCCTATCCAGTGTCAGCGCCAGGAAGTTGGCGCTGTTACTGAATGAGAGCGTTATGTTTTTAGTCTGGGAGGAGAACAGGAGGCATTTTATAATTTCTTGTAAAGAGAACAAGATCGGTTTTTGTGTAATTTACGCCTAGCCCACATTTATCTGCCCAGAATGACAATACTTTTATTTACTTGTCATTAGGTTACATAGGTTCTGGGAGTACTTTCCTATAAAGATAACAACAGTGTGGCAACCTTTCTCCATGTCCCGCAGCAGTCTGTTTACTGGTATGTTGCATAGGAGGGGAGACAGGACGCGCCTTTGAGGCGTTCGTCTGCTGACATACCTGGAGAGAGTTGACGATCCAAGTGTAGATTTCACAGTCCTGCAAGTAAGCAGTTTATCACTCTCAAGTCAATTTTCAGTTCCAACAGAGCTCCAGTTATCGCCTGTGGAATGACGTTGTGAAAAGCAGCTTCCATGTCTTAGAAAGCTATCAGGGAATACTCTTTACTCGAGATTTTTCATTTATGTTGACCACGAGATGGTAGCTGAATCGGTAGAACTGCCCTTCCAGTAGGCATGTTAGGACCCAGAGATAAGTTTAGAGTCAATCGAATTTGTGAGGTGGAGACTAATGAGTCGTTCTTATATTATTAACATAAAATATGATAGACTGATGGAGCTAACGTCTTTAGAACTGGTATGTGATGATTTGGTCTTTTACGATATGATAGTGATAGTTGACTGAAGCCAAAAGGGTGGGATTTGGTCAGTCGTAAGAAATTTCTTCAAAATTTCATGTAGTAGTTCATGTAGATGTTGTGTCCGCCTTTTGTAGTTGGGCGGACGTATTTTATCGTTACCTGAAGACTTAAACGGCTTTTTTGTGTTCCACCGAACTAGACATTGAAAATAGACTTGAGGTGTTTACCATGGTGGTTATTTTTTGGGCAGGAGCCTACTAATGGTACAATCTTTTGTAGGCTTAAAGATAAACTTACATTCCCTTGTGAGTGTCTGTGAGATAACAGAGATGAGCGAAAGTATTTGGTCCTTTCGTAGGGTGTTCCTTAAGGGATCGATCTAGTTTTTGTTTAAGCTCAAATTCAATGTACCTGTGATCAGAGAAGGAGTGGTCGTCAGACACAAGGGTCAGGTCTGTGACCGCTTTCCGATTTTTAACGACCAAAGTAGAATAATTTCTCGTATTACACATTCAGAAGTTAAAATGTTTCTTGTACTCTAGGACGACAGATTGTGTGATCTCGTCTGGTGTTGGCTCAGTACTATTGTGAGCCATATACGTTGAGAATAGCCCTATCGGGTTTAACTAGAGCTTCACGCATACTACTATTGTTTTTCCCCAGAATGCAAGCTCTTATTTTACCTTCGGTTTGAACTACCATGTCGCTTCCTGGCCGGCAAAACTTTCCTCCAATTACCCAAGGCTCTTGAACTAGCACTACGTCGACTCCACCACCAGCCAAGTGAAGCATTAGAGTAGTGAATGCTGCTACAGTGATGTATGTTAATCTGCAGAAGACGCAATGATATTTTTAGATCCCACTCTCAGCACCGTCTTGCTGCTGCCCTCCTCATCGGACAGTAGAAAATCGACCTCGTCTACTTCCTCGTCTACTTAGGCACCGGGTCAGCGCCGACGCATCAGACGTATAACCTGGCTCCAGCTCGTCGGATGCCTCTGACGAGGGATTCTGGTCGACTGGCTTGTTGGCAGAGTCTCCCAGGGCCGCCGAAACGGACGTTTACTCCATTATGGTGACAGAACTGAAGCCAAAGCTTCATTCAACTTTGGCCGCTTCAATCGGTGCAGAGATTTCTAATTCAGAACCACCACCACCTGATTCATCAGCCCTTGTATGGCCTCGATCTTGACCACATTCCAGTCATGGGTTGGGAAGGGTGAGTTGCATCTTTGCAACTTTTCAACACCTGGTCCGGTTCATTCAATGATGCCGGAATCCAGATGCTTGTCCGAGGTCTACTCGGAACTTCGCTGCAGCCTAGAGCGACCAGCTTAGCCGCAAGATAGCCCTCGCCAACCCCCGCCACGGCTGCCTTGTAAAGCTCCACGGAGCAGACATCTTCACACGCAATGACTTTCCTGGTACCAACATCCTTGCAGTAGATGCAATACTCTCGAAAAGGTTTTATTACATTTATACAAGTAGCAGCAAAAAAGCAAAAGTAAATCAATATGTTGTATATTTACATAATATTCGTAGCTTTTGCTTGCACCACATAATGCTTTGAAAGTACACTCGACGTATACGTAATCCGTGGACCAATACCAACCCGCTTGCGTTCGAGTAATTTGAGAACTTTTCCATTAAGGTTCAGATAAGAAACATTCTTGCCATCAATTCTTATGTCTACTCGCAATGTAATATATAAATATATTTTTTTTCTTGTGCACAGCTGAGACGCATGTGTGTTATCATTTGGGCCATTACGGCAATAAGTCTGTATCCATAAATTCATTTCCGGCTTCTGGTTTTTCCCACCCCCATCCTTCTACCACACGACGCCCATATGCATACTTGAATGTGTATGTGTAATTACAATTACGCAAAATGCGACAACAAGCCAATGGCATGGAGATCGACTCTAAGTGTGGGAGAATCTTATGGGTATAAACAATACAACTTTGGGTGGGCGAGAAGAAGCAGGAATAGCAATAGCAACAGAAACAGAAGCAGATATGGTGTTGGAGCGCAGTCATTGGTCACAAGCCACGACATCTGCCACAGCCAAGGCCAGGGCCAAAGTCCATGCCACAGTCAGGGCCATTGCCAGGGACATCGAGCAAATTGAACTTTTCGTGTGTACCAAACTTTAATGGAAATTTTATTCAATTATCTGGTTTTGAAACGGGAATCGATAATGTGTGACCGACCAAACAAAATTTCTGTGCAATTGCACAGGATACCCTGTAATCAGATCTGGCTAACTGTTACGTTAACTGCAATGGCCGAAGTACCAATTATGTTGAGCTGATTAAATGAGATTTATTTTCATTTAGCATGTTGATGTTGATGTATTTTCAAAAACTATTAGAGAATGGAAAGCTGCTAAAGCTTGTGAGAATTTCATCAGATGGATCAGTCGAGTAAACAGCATTCAAACTTGTTTTCGTGTACTATTTGAGGCAATTATAAAGTCAAATTTATAACCGTCATACGGCTTGATTAAATGCCTGGCGTTGACCTTTTGACTTGGCTCGAAATTTGTTTTTTATAATATGCGTAAGTGTGTTGATTGTGTATTTGTTGTCTATCCTTCATTTGCAGGTCTACATGCCGCAGCTGGATGGCATTGGTCTGTGCGTTGTCAATTTGATGGATGACATGCAAGAATATTCAAGGGGATTGTTTCTAATCATGTAGGTTCCGCATGTCGACGACAGTTGAACAATAGCTCGAGTCCGAAAATGTATTCTATCTGTTTGCTTTCAGGTACTGCGGTCCGGCCATTTTATTATCCTATCTGTATATACGTACCTCGCAGGAGCTGCGACCACCGGACGGACCCTTTGCGGTTATGATGTACGAGCATCGCGCTGATCTTCGCATGAGACAAAGGTGATAACTATACTAAACCTGCATAAAATCTTTCATAGTGACAAAAAATCTCAAATTTTCATTCAAAAAATTTCTATCCTAAGTAGTTTTAGTAGAAAATCAAAAACTTTTGCCAAATTTAAAAAAAAAAAAAAAATTTTTTTTTCTAATTTTATATTAGAAACGGAGATTATGAAGCCTCTCTTCAGATAACTTGAGAATTAGCAGTACATAATAATTATATTATATATGTATGTTTGTATAGTGATGGTTACAAAAACTAGCTCTTGGTTTCAACTGATTGACTGTTTTCAGGCCCTCTAACTATCAGAAATACAGATATCTCTTTATGTACAAAGCTAACAAAAGTATATCATTTTTAAATTATACGTAAAGGAAAGGAAAAAACGGCTAATAATTGCTGTCAATGTTTTACCTTTGGGCGTATTACATTAAGTTTAAATATTAAGGGATGGTCGGGCATTGGTAAAAATTGAGTTCATTACACACCTGGGTCGTTGGTCTTCGATTTGGGTTTCAATCCTGCAAGTCGTAACACTGCTAATTGCGCTGATTAATTTTGTGAACGGATTGAGATTGAGCTGGTTGAGTGCAAGCTTGTGTAAGGGGGAGAGGATATGGTAACTAGAGAGCCACTGGGCAACGTGACACCTGAGCAATCTTGCTTGCCCCGTTGCTAATGAGCTCAATTCCAACCCAATGGCAGTTTAATGACTTCGATTTCCTCGACAACTTTTTCTTTGCACATTTCTCTTGCTCACCTTTCGCTACTTGTCTTTCGTACCTTTTTTTCTCCTCCTTTCGTTTCGTTCTTGTTTGTAACTCCACAGGAACTCCTCGACAACATCTGCCGAGCCGCGCACGCACAGCGGCGGGGGCGTGGCTGGCCTGAGCAATGGACACGGCACCAGCACCCGCTCCTACGATCTGTACAGCGCCGAGCTGGACGTGAACCGTGAGAAGCGCAAGCAGCGCAACTTTGGCAGCATGGCCGCCACCCAGGTGGTCTGTCTGTGCCCTCTGATGATACTGAGATTCGCACGGCTTTCACTCGAGGAGACCTATGAGAATCAGAAGCATTTTGATTTTACCTACTTGATGTTTGTGTGGGTTGCATTTCTGCCCACAGTCATATTTCCTTGTATTTATGCCTCACAGATATTGCCAAGGTAAGTTTGCTATTTTACTGCGTTGCATTACAGTGTTCAATGATTTTGTTAGTTAGCATACGAGTAGTATCATCATTTGTTTGAGCATATGAATGGATTGGAATGTATTTTGTATTTTATATTTTAATGGAGTTGCCTAAGCGAAGATTCGTGCCAGACACGAATCTAATTTATTGCTTCACTGCATTCATTTTGTAAATACATTTCGTTTTTCTATACTTTTCTTTGGTTCTCTCTCACTTCTCTCTCTCAGGAATGAACAGGAGCGTCTGCGCGGCTATTTTCGATTGTCGGCCAAGCGGAAGATGAAGTCAAAGCGTCGCAGTGAGGACTGGCGTGACGATTCCATTGAAAAGGATGAGCCCACAAATACCACCAGCATTGTGGGCACTGGACAAACAGCGGCAAATGAGCCACCCAAGACGCTGTCCAAGGGGAACTTATCATCGTTGCGTCATGAGCGTGGTCAGGGTCACGGCTTAACTTCGACTGATCGGTATAGCGGTGCACCCTACAGGCAGAGCCAGTCCGGCAGCAAGGAGCGAGAGCGTGATAGGGATAGGGATAGAAATAGGGATAGGGATAGGGGGGAACGGGAACGGGATAGACAACGCAGTGGCAACACGAATAGTGGACGCGGCCCTGGCGATGCTGGCGTTGTTAATAATCTCGGCAAAAATATGCGTGGCAAGAAGCACGATGTGAAGATCAACATCATCTCGGATGGCGGGCATGCGACAAATGGATCGGGACGCAAGCAGCCAGCAAACAGCAGCAGCAACAACAGCAGCAGCCGCATCAAGACGCCCGGCACCGCTCACCCGCATCCAGCACAGGGTCTCGGTCGGCAACCGCACGGCAATCACGGTCATAATCGCCACCAGGCGGCAATGGAGTCAATGTCCGTTTCTAACAACTCAGTATCCAATTTGACAGGATCGACGTTCTGCAATGCAAACAACAGCTCGCTGCTGGATGATAGCGGTACCAGCAACTATGGCGATGGCGAAGAGAGCTCCGTGGTTAGCAGCAGGATGCATCCACCACAGCGCTGGCCCAACTCGACCGGTATGCGTCGCAAGGATGTCTCGTTCAGCGAATGCAGCAGCACCACCTTCTCCTCGAGCACACTAGACCGGGACTTGGAGATCATCGATCTGCTGGAGCGTGAGCGCAGCATGGACATACAGGAGATGATCCAACGCGAGCAAATCGGCGAAAAGGCGCGTCTGTCTGTCGGCGGCAGTGTTGGCCGCCAGCTACCCGATATTGGCAAGCTCTACGCGCAACGTTCTCCAAAAGCCAAACGAGACTCCGGCTGTGGGTATGATAAGACATCTCTAGCGCTGGTGATGCCCGGCAGTGACCCGCTCAGTATGTCGCTCTCCAGCAGCAGTCAGCCCACAGAGTACAGTCTGTGCTCCACGCTCCAGGATCATCAGCAACAGCAACAGCAGCAGCAGCATCAGCTGCAGTTGCAGGCACATCAGCAGCAGCAACTGGAGGATGATGAAGTGCCGCAGGATTTTTACGACAGATATACGCCCGGTAGCAGCAACAATTTGCCGCCAGCGACAAATGCCGCCGCGGTGCCAGCCACGGCCTCCGCTCAGCCCGTCCCCCCGCCTGCCTATCAGTATCAGTATAGCCGACGGCTAAGTCGCAAGAGCTCCGGCGCCGGATCGCATCATGCGGCTGGTGGTGGTGGCGTCGGCGGCATCTCCACGCGCGGCTCCAAGCGCGAAAGCTTCAACTCGCTCAACGGCACCGATCTGATTGCGGGCGCATTCTGTGAGCTGGATCCCACACAGCCGCTGAACAAGATGACCGGCCTCGATGTGCGGATGCGCCGCAGCAGCCCAAGAAACGCCAGCTTCAGCTCCAGCTCGGCACGCAGCTCAATGAAGTCGAGAGATTATGGACATGGGTCCACTCACTCGGCACACCCTGAACTCGACTTCAGGGAGAATATCTTCGCCGAGCTGTAAACGCTCCATGGCAAACCAAACCAGAAATTTAAGTCTCCCCAAATAAGCTCGGAATGCAGTCGCATTTTGTGTGTGTGTGTGTGTGTGTGTATGTGTGTGCATTTTTTTTTTCTTCTTTAAATAATAAGTATTTTTGCAGCTGTAACTTTTTCTACTTGTTAGCTTAGGAGTAGTCTGTAGTACAGGTGAAATGGGAGAGGGTGCTGTGAATGGGATGGAATATGTTTGTACTCTGATACCGAAGGTATAAAGGTATATTAGTCCAATGCAATGTCCGTAATGCTGTCTGTTTTTCGTCATCTTTAAAGCTAGAGCTTTTAAACTTTGAACACGTACTGTACATGTCTGCACCCTCGTCAAAAAAATGTTAAAATTGGGGTGCTGCGCCCACTAGGAGGCTAGGAAAACGATCAAATCGATAATCGCAAATCGAGCAAACCACATATCTTCCAAAAATTTTAAAGCTGCTATCAGCAAATAATATTGGTAGGTGGTGGCGGTGTCCTTAAAAGATCGGCATCGGCCACGACCACCACATAAAAATCGTAAATTGGTATATCTTCCGAAGTTTCTGAGTTATATCTATCAAATTAGGAAGGGCTGACTACGCCTACGCTGTTTTTTGCCGTCGGCTAGCTGGTAAGTTGAATTTGTATCAGAGTATTTCGCTGTCGGTGACACCCGACTGCAACGTTCTAACTTGTTTTTGTATTAAATTTTGTCTGGAGCGGCCAAATGTGAGCTGCAAGTTTTGTACGAGAATTTTTAACTGCTTTGTCAAGATTTTTATCGCAAAGGGGAAATAAAAACCATTTTTAAATAAATAATTAGTCTACATAATTCGCTAATATGTGCGTTTATTACGGTGTGTGTTTAAAAATCTTATATGCACGTAATTGTAATGTAAAAAATCATGAATTTTTAACGTTCCTTGGGATGTTGAAGCGACTGCAAACAGTTGATTAAAAAAGATGTTACAAAAATGAACAACAAAACGAAAATTAAAAAAAAAATCTTGAAATATTTACAGCAAAATATCAAATGAGAAAAATAACTTACAATATATGATATCAAACAAGTAAATTAAATAAAATGTTTGATTTTTGCTACAGAAAGCTATACTTACATTTTTTCTACAAGACAGCAAGAATATATGAAGTTACATTATATATTTAACAAATTTGGTATAAACCACAAATATGAAGCAAAACTACTTTTAACACAAAAGTCAAACCAATACAAATTTTGCTGAGTTTAATCAAGTATAAAAAATAAATCAAATATTCAAACATTGCCAAACGCGTGCAAAGTGTGCCAAGCAGCCATATAAAAATCAATGTTTAAACTAAACAAAAATTAAATACATTAAAAACATACAAATATTGTGCATACATATGTACCAAGAGCACTCTCATTATAATGAGGCAGTGTAAGATGCAAAATTTATTGTTGTTATCTTATCAAAGTTACATATTTAAATTGATGTTAAAATGTCAGAAAATTAGTCAAACATAATAATTCTAATGTAAACTCCATAAGTATGCAATCTAAATATTTATGGAGAAATGTTGTGTATAAGTTTTCAAAATATCATACTAACCAAGTCGAGTGAGCTCGACAACGATATACCCTGAACCCAGCTGTTAAATATATATATTAAATATATGTGAGCAGGTCTGCAAGTGCATTTCTTTCTTATGGCAGGCACACGGACTGCAGAGTAAAAAAAAACCTAAGACAGAGCTGGCTGGCATACATACATACGTAGGTAACTGGGCTTTGCAGATAGAAATGAGATCAATAAGTGTATACGGGAATCTATATTCCAAATTTGACGGACGGACGAACAGACAGACGGATATGTTTATATTCTGATCAAGAATATATAAACTTTATGGGGTCGGAGATAAGTCCTCCTGTCTGCTACAAGCATTTGCATAAAACCATTATTCCCTTTTAACCATTTTTATGGGTTCAGGGTATAAAAAGAAATATTTAATGCTAAACTACAACACAACAGTAAAAAAATCCGTTTATTGAATGTTATCATACAAACAGAAAAGAATATATCCTTAAATATCTATGCGCATATTACACTCATACTCAAATGTCCACTTATGTATATTTGTGTTACAATAAACCGAAAACCGCATTCGAGAAAGTCTTGCAACTCTTGTGAGCCCCACGAATTGCATTTCCATTTATTTGTTTTATTTTTTATTATTTTTTTTTTTGGTGCTATATACCAACTATTAGTGGACACCCTCCAACCTAACTTTATAAAAAAACGAATAATACTAATGCTAAGCAGCAAATGGAATGTGCATATGAAAGAAATCCAAATAAAGTCTACGAAAGCAACATCAAATGTAATTGCCCCCAATATAATGTATGTATGTATGTTTACTTATATACGCATATTTTTGATTGTATTGAATACGGTTTTATTTTGTTCTTTGAGATTTTGTTTGTTTTATATTTGGTGTATAAAACAAAGAGAGAAACTAATAAAAATATTTTATGTGAGCTAAACCCACAAAAGAAACTGCTGAATTGGTGTCCCTTTTCCTGTTTTTATTTATGTACGTTTCAGCTACGCACAGTGACACAAGTATGCTGCATTGGCACAATATTTGCCGAAGGTTTTTGGCAAGCAGTATGAAAACTTAAGGAAACCCTATTTTTATAAATGAGGCATTGAAACTTTACATCAATATCTCTTTCATTGGTATAAACAGATTATGAAAGCTTATTAAGCTAAATATATAACTACAATTATTATTAATTTCATTATATTAAAGATATATTACAACTTTTCCACAAATATTTATTTATATTTTTATTATTTCACAACACTTATTTTTCTGAGGCCTTCAACTATACTGAGTGCCGTGTGTAGAGGCAATGACATTAAAAGGTTGATGCGTACGTATATATGTATTTTGGCACTGGCCTAGGTAAGCTGCGTATACTATGTGAATGCGAATTCGGATGCGATTGGGGAGTCAGTGCAGGAGACGAAGCAGGAGCTCAAACTGGAGTTGGAGCTGAAGCTGGAACTGAAGGCACGTGGCCTGTCCCATCAGTTTAATTTGTGCAAATGCAAAGCAAAATAAATAAAAAAAAAATAGCTGAAAATGATTCGCAGCACAATAAACTTAATGGAAAAACGCAGGGAGCTGGATAACGATAGGAGGGATTGTGTAAAAATGTGCGTGAGTTTGTGTGCAATGGGGTCACAGTACGAGTTCAAAAGTTCAGCCATGGAGTTTAACAGCCTCAAATCTGTATCTGGTCACACGGTCCATATAGTATCCACATTACCACTCTCGCCTCCCGCTGCTCGCCGTTTTTCTCCGGTTCTGATTTTGAGAGGTCAGTTGGCAGACCCGCAGTGGAGGTCGCTCTGCTCCCTTCGACTGACCCAGTTATATGATTAAGTACCGTTATTTAGCAGTTATGCTCTACGATTGGCTAGCCATCTTCTTTTGTGACACGTCTCAGCAAATTCTGCTGGATAATTTAACATATGTTTTCTTTTTATTTTATTATATTATTACGATTTGTATTCTTTTCATTTATTCTTTTGATGTATTTATTATTTAACAACTGCTTCAGCAAGATCGACTTGTTAAATTGAGACTTATAGGTACCCGTTAGGGACACAAAGGAATGTGTTCCGATTGAGATAAGAAGAGTATATAAATTTAAAAGGTTCTAATCTTATTTTTCCGACAAAAAGTCTGCTAGTAGTATTAAAATTACACTGCTTAGCTCAAGTTCAGGCCAATATTAATGATATTTGGCTTTTAATGCGTATGATCAGCATTTGTTTTGCAATGTATTTAGTTTTAAAAAATTAAGCACCTTGGTAAGGGGTATCTCGCAGTCACCCAGAACAAGCTAGTCATTTTGATGTGCTTTCAATAATTTAATAGGTTTAAAGGTCCAACAGTAAGTCAAACATTTTTTGTTAACTCGCTTGTAAATGAAATTACGTGAATTTGTCGAAAATCGATGTTTAAACAATTTCAAATGAATTATATCGTTTCATTTTTCCTATATATTTAAACTCCCGTGGATGGAGTACGTGTGCTCATGTAGAATTATTAACTTTTTTAAATCAAACAAACTAGTAAATATGTATTTCCATATAAGCTATGACTTTGTAAAGGACTTTTACAAATACACAAGTGTGAGGAAAATATAATAGGACAAAGTAATGTAGGATTCGAACTGCTATTGTTGTTTACATTTAGTAAATTATTATTTGTTGTTACACTTTTGCGCCACTGCAATAACCCAGAGTACCTTTTTTGTCGCCAAACCAGGCAGCAATTTCAGCAGACAACTGGCAACAGGTTATTGCTGACTGTTTACTGTTTGCTGTTCACTGGCTGTTTTGTGTTCATTGTCACAATCACATTGCATGTTAAATCGTAAATTACGAATGCTTAACGCTGGCTGCCAAACCTTGCCCAATCCCTATCCTAATCGTAAGCCCAAGATAATTTCCATACCTAAATATATATACATTTATGCATATCCATGGGTATTTCACGCCTCGTGGCATGGCATCTACGTGATGTTGCCACCAAATGGCACACATAAGCAACTTTCAATCATTTGAACTGCGCTTTCAATTGCGACTGCGTCTGCAAAATGAAATGAAAGGCGCGCGACCAACAAAAATATGTATGTTGATCACGTATACGCAGTGTGGACGGACGGCAAATGCTTGACCACTGCGACTGACTCTTAAATATACATACCAACACATGCATGTGTAAGCATTTATTGTGTGTGTTTGCGCACTCATAATACTCGACTTTCATAATCTTTGTGGAAAAGTTTGCAAACGGTTTGAACCAATTGCAAATGCAATCGTGGTCAACGTCTTATCCGTTAGTCTCAACCCCGCTTCCTTATCAGTTTCTGTTTTTTTTTTTTCGGAGTTCAGTTTTGTAAATTTATTGATATTTGAAAACCCGTTGCAGGCACTCGAGCTTTTCGTATGCCACGCACGTCTCTATAAACAGCATTGTATACCGGTCTTTATATTAGTTGGCCACACCACTGTGGTCACATAAGTTTTGCTGCCCTTTTTCCCCCACAGTGTGTTACATAAGCATTCATAGTACCCGTACTCAATATGCATAGAAGTTTATTGGTGTTGTTGTTGCTGTTTAGCATTCAATTTCAAAAGGCATTTTGGGAAAGTGTTGTGGGTGCCTAAGCGCCACTTTATAGAAAGTGAAATATTAATAAAAAAAACTAAATAAAAATAGAATTTATTATTCACATATGATGTATGGTGCGTAATTATAAAGTTTTTAACTAAACATTGACAAGTTGCCACTGGCTTTGATCTGCAAAGAACAAAGCTAAATCTGGATACTATTCAAATTTTCAGCTGACCGCTTTATATTTATTATGCTAAGAAATTACATATTCTTTAGTGCGTAAGAGAATTTGGGGGTAATAGAACTTATTAGTTGTGACTTAGACTTAAATTCGTGCAACTTTATCTTGCCCCACAATCTGACTTCTAAGTCGATCTCAAGTTAGTTCCAGTTTCCCTATTTTATGTTAAATTGTTTTCGCAGACCTGTTCTCCGTTGTGCTGTCAACTCACACACATCGACTCGCAATGCTGCTAAATTTGCGGCACTTGGTGAAGACAAAGCCAACAAAGAAAATTTTCCATTCGGTGTCTTTGTTGCATGCCAACTAAATATCGAAAATCAGCGCACAGCACAGAGCCCAAAAGCCGCACTCAATGTCAACAAGAGCGAAGCTAGTATAAAACGCTTAAGCGGCGGGCGGGCAAAGCACAGTCGTAATTTGGACGAACTGCAGCCGGTTTGTTGTCATAGCTTTCGTTACTCGCTGGAAACGGGACATTGTTGCCGTATACGTAACGCCTAATTAAATCAACTTGGCCGACGAAAACGCCATCAGCCATTAGCCATTAGCCATTAGCCATTAGCCTCTGCAGAAAAAGAGAAAAAGAGAGACAGAGAGAGACAGAGAGAGAGAGAGAGGGGGAGAACGAAAAAACTGCATCGCAGCGTGGTATCTGAATCAATTACAAGTTGCATTTTAAGACGGTGGCATCATTATAAATAATTTGAATTGGAAATATGCTTGGCTTGTGGCAAAATTCATTCGGCCTTCTGACCTTCTGCTTGCTGGTGCACAATGGACACGCACAATTATCCCTTCACACCGATGCCAATACCAACTCGTTCACTCTAAAGACACCCGGATTACAGCAGAGCTTCACGCGCTACTACGGCGCTGCTAAGCAGCAGGCACAGCCACAGTCACAGCCACAGCCACAGCATTCGGAGCTGCAACAACAACAAGCCGTAAGTTTAGTTAGTGCATTTATTTAGCTAGATAAGAGTCGGATACAAAGTAGTCCACAGCATCAATTGCTGGTGTTCACTTCTGCGTCGACGTCCAATTGGCTGCCGCATTGCATCGCCAAAGCCAAAATTCATGGAGCCGCCCATCTTCTGGCCGAGCACCTCCACCTCCTTCTCATCGTGCGCTGCAGCGCCGGTCTCCACCAGCTGATTTACCTGTGCAACAGCCAACAGCATGCCAGTGGCCAAATCCTTGAAAAAACACACATACGCACACATGCACATACATACGTGATTGAGTGATAGATATGAGCTTACCTGCGGCCTACCTTCTGTGCAGCTGCTGAACAGCAGCGAAGCAGCTGCAACAGCAGCAACAACAACCGTCCAATGCATTTGTATGGAAATTGTTTGGGTTTCGTTCTGGGACTGGTTAATTTGGCGCTCGATGCAGCTTATTTAACTGATCGTCGTCGTTTGGATGGGAGCCCATTTGCTATTAGGCTAATTAGTAAAAACAATGCAAAACAACACTGCTATAATTACAGTCGCTATCGTGTTCTTGCTGCACACATCCGCTACAGGCAATATATCTTAATCGGGCTGTTTTGTGCTCGACGCGACTCACATATTGGTGCTGGCATGCCACATTGCCAATGCGGTATCGGCGATCTTATTATGTGCCAGTGTTGAACAACCCCGGATGCACTCGCCAAGCGATATTACTCTGTTTTATTTATTTTTTTACATCATCATATTTATTCATATCTTTTCGAAATATTTTCCCTGCGATTCGATATATACTAATGTGAAAATCGCATGCTCAATTTCACCATTTTCCGTTAATTTCGAGCTCATGTTTTATTTATTAGTGCAATTTGGTTGTTTTAAATGTTTCATTTCAATTTCTTCTTTTGATTATATTAATTGCATGCCATTAACGAGCTTACTCATTTTATATTCAACAATTCTTAGATTCATTCAAAAATCGATCTTTTTCATAATGCGTTTCAATTCCATCTGCACCCAATGCGCTGCTAATTCTGAAATTTAAATATTATCCGCCAACAATAGTTAAAGCTACGATTTGAGAAATTCTTGAATGTGGCTTATAATTGAGCTCGGTTCAATTGGCCACCGGAAAGGTCTCCACGTTGCTTTCGACGCCTTCGGCAAATACATTCCGCAGCTCCTCAAAATAACTGCGGAATGAGTCCACCATGGACTGCCACGTATTCCGAATGTTATCCCCAAACTCCTTTGCCGCTTCGGTTAGACGCTTGTCCAGCCTCGGCTCATCTGGGTAAATCAAATGCGGTCGCACATCATCGTACTCATTGGAGTAGTCCAGCTCCAAGTCGTCCTGGCAGAAGGACACCTGCATAAGTACCACTAGCCACAAGATCAGTCCAAATAGTAAACGCCAAATAGAACTCATTGTATAAACTGTCGCAATGCAAATTGACTTTTTTCTTTTTGTATTGGGCCACGATCAAAGTGGCGTGCATTGAATTGTTGTTTATGTCTCGTGCCGGAAGTGTTTACTGGTTAACTAGCTGATATTATCTGAAGTACTGTTGAACACAACAGCATCTAACCATTGATAAAACTATGTTCATTTTTTAAGCTCTGCTATACGTCCTCATATAGTGTTGGCTCTTTCAGTATTATTATTATTATTATTTTTTCCATTGTTCATAATGCATTTTATTAAGTGGATTATTATTTTAATTTTTAATTCATCTTCCACTTTTAAAGAATAGTTCTGTTCAATACGGTTTTGCTATTAGTAAACTAACTTTTTCTTTTCAAGTCGTAGTTTTATGAAAATCTACAAATATTATTTTTTTAATATCGTATTTAATTTAAAAAGTTGCAGTTATATTTCTATCGCATGTTTATTTGCTCTCAAATTAGTTTTTTTTTTTACATTTTGCTTTAAGTAGCTCAAATAGTAAGGAACAAAAAAAAAAATCATATAAAATTAACACAAATGAAATAAATTTGGATTTATCTGGTACTGTTGGTGATTTGAGCAGCGGTTCCTTTGATTTTTTGTCCCATTTGTTGCATCATATCACCCACATTTCCCATAAATGAAAGAAAAAAGCCTTTCACCCGCTCTCCGAGATTAGCTCCAACCGACTCCTGCTGCGGCGACTCCAGCGCTTGACGACGTCGACGACGTGTTTCGAGCAGTTTCTTCTTTGTCTTTGTCTTGGACTTGGTGACTCGCGTTTTTGAGGCATTATTGGCGGCACGTTTGCGTGCACGCCTTCTGCGTGCTTCGATATCATCATCCGTCATCTCCGTGGTAGCTCCCATCATTTGCTTCCAATTGCACGGCGAGCGACGGATACGGTGCAGCGCCTGATGCAGACTGATTATGCTGTTGTTTCCATCCATGCTGCGTCGGCGGCGACGGCGTCGTCGTCTTTCATCTGATTCAGATGAGTCATCATCATTGACCGGTCGCATTGCATCGCCATAACCCATCGCTGTCTTGGAGCGCATGGCCACCAAGCCAGTATCAAAGTTCATCTGCTGCGTAGCCAGCGCACCCTCCTGCAGACTATTCATGATCTGGCCACCCACGCTGAGCGCACCAACGGCCAGTTGCTCGAAAGGATTCTGGGCGGTGACACGCGACCAGGCCCTGCCCATTAAGAAGCCCATCAGCAGCACTAATTCCAATTTAGAATGCATATTTCAACTGTGTCGATTTTGTGTTTCTACAGCCTATTTTATGCAGCATTTTTGGCACGTCATCGGCTTGCGTGCCGCTCATCTGTGCAACGCGGCGTATGATCAATCAATTGGATTTTAGCACTATTGTTGATGTGATTTGATGTTTTTACTGGGCTTAGTGTTCGCAACGGGGCAGGCTTTGAACTAAACTTCCGGACTGTATGTATTTAGATTGGCAGTTTCGTTTGGTAGCTTTATCTGATCTGATTTTGAATTTTAGAAATTTACTTTTTGCTTGGTTATATTCTACGTGCATCACAGCTAAAACCAAAATTGTTATTGTGTATACTCAAACTGAAATTGATTAAAGATGGAATCTACCACAAGTCCCAATAATGGTGTTAAACTGGTAAAGGATTAGGTTTTGGCATTTGTATATCAACTAATTAACTTTCCCTCTCTATACTCTATTATTTTCTCTTTTAGCAAAATCCAACTCAATTTAGCGGATTTACGCCAGCTGGATTACAATATTCAGCAGCATATCCGCAGCAATCCGTTGCAACAAGTAGCAAGCCAAAGCTAGCGCCAACTGACAATACGCAGCAGCAACTATTGCAGCAGCAACAACAGCTCCAACAGCAGCAGCAATATTTGGCACAACAGCAACTGCAAGCGGAACAGGTGCAGTCCGCCTACCTGGATAACCAGCGTCAGCGATTGGCTTTTGAGCAGCAACAGCAACAGCTGCTGCAAAAGCTGTACACTCACTATCCCGATGTCTCTGGCCAGCAGCAACATCTGCAGTATGAGCAACCCGAGCAGCAGCAACAGTCTATCATTAATACCGCCGGCAGTCGCTTCATTACACGCCAACAACCGACGGTCTTTGGCAGCAACAACGGGTTGCAGCCACAACAGCAACGCCAGCAGCAACAGTACCCGTTTCAGTCACAGTTGCTGCCAACGCCATCCAGCGATTCATACTCGACCCAGCAGCACATGGGATTCCTGCAGCAACAGCAGCAAGATGTGCTGCGCGATCAGCAGCAGAATGTTGCACAACAGTTCGCCACTGGACAAATTGCCCCCAGCACCACCAGCAGTACTAACTATGGTATGGCCGTTCCAGAATCTTCCGTAATACGTACTCCATCGTACCAACCTGCGTCAGCCGTATCCCATTTTAGATTCAGCAGCGGCAATCTCAACTACAACTTCTAAGAAAACCGCCTGAGTTCACAAAGTGCCAGGCGCTGTTGTCGCACCTCGAATCCAGTTCGCCAAAGTGGACCAAATTAAACTGACTATTTAATAATCAACTCACATTTTTTTGTCAAACATTTTTTTTTTTTTTTTGCTTTCAACTAGTTTAATTTATTATTATCCTAATAGCTATAATTATTCAATATTTTTTGTTAAGCTCGTGAAAATTTGCAATTACGCAGCTATGAGTCCCAAATTGTCCGTAATAAAATCACAACAAATTAAAATAAATGAACTAAAAATAATCTCTGAAATATGGTTAATACCGGAATTTATATTATTTGCTGTCTCTGCATTTCTAGCATATATGTTGCCATTAATCTCCATTATACGAACTTACACTTATGGGATAAACGATTTTATTAATTTTCATCGTTTTTTTTGTCATAAACAAATAAACTTGCTAGTCGAACTCCACCTGCTCTTTATTATTTTAAAAACTTACGGGACCGAACTTAATCCCATTTATATCTCAACTTTAGTACAGTAATTTTGTTTATAGCTTTTATTGGTTTTGAAATCGGCTAGCTCATTGATGAAACTGTTGCAGTTGATGTTGATCAAACAAATATATCCCTTACAATGAAAGATATGTTTTTTTCTGCCTCTTTCAAAGATTTGCACAACTTCCTTATATCTTGTCTCTCATTTCCACACATCTGCAAGAGCACACAAATTTAATTAGCAACTAATTGCAGTTGACATAAGGCAAATGTGCTGTGGTATGAACACAACATTGACATATTTGTTCTGACATTGTGCATATGGCATAGTTGACAAAATTGGAATGCGATGTGGTCCAGTCTAATCCGAAGACATTGCAAGCGTGCAATGCAGGCTCACAAAAATGGTTGGCCCGCAGTGGGGGGAGGAATGGGAAGGACGCGTTGATGGAGAAACAGTGCCATGTTCCTTACATTTTTACATTCATCGCTGTCACTGCTGGACATTTTGACTGTGCTGTGTTCTGTCATTTAGCGCAATGAACAGGAAACGGGAAATCGCCGCACATTGCCACAACGTATTTGTGTCTGGATGCACAGGTATATCCCCTCTCTTCCTCTCTCGTCCTTGTTTTGTGGCATAGTATGTCTGTCTGTTAGTGTATCTGTGTCCGACTTAACCACTTTTCCGTTTGCCTTATGCTGCACATTTCTGTTGATTTGTTCATGTTGTTGGCTGGATCCACTAAATTGAAATTTTCTATGCGAACCATATTAGGTTTGGGAGTAGCCACAGAATGGTCAGAATGAAATGCATGCACTCGACCCCAGTCACCCTTAGTCTCACCCTCACACTCACCCCGCTTCTGCACCCCCTTCTCAACGATATCTCATTCTTCTTATATCAACGTACAAATAATTCACCCGCATGAAATTTGATGGTAAAACATTCTTCTAATTTATTCACCAAATGACTTTGGAAAGCATCTCGAACCCCATAAAGTATATATATTCCTGATCAGAAACAACAGCCGAATCGATCTTGCCATGTCTGTCTGTCCGTCCGTCCGCTTTGTAAGAGCAGACGGATCTCCGAGACCATAAGAGCTACAGACAAATTTGCAATAAAACTGTCGTATATCAAGCACAGATGAAGTTTCCCAATTTCGCGACAATCGATACGTATCGACTTAGCGGTAGCAATAAACACCACAACTTTAATAGTATAGCATTTCAATTGATACCTTAGAACCATATTATATTCCACGTCTGCTTAAGTTTGAGCGTGCAAAGCCAAAGCCAAAAAATTGCCAAAGGAATATTTGACAGTAAAACAAGCAAAGTATACCGAACAGCTGGGTTTAAGGTTGTCTCGTAGTCGAGCTCATGCGACTCCAGCATTCTTACTGGCTAAGTTTGCTTTTCTCTTTAACCTAAACCAATACAGCAATAATAATGCACTGTTATTCACACACAACAAGTACACGTATAAGTGTTTCAGTCCCCCATTGCATGTAGTCGAATAATGACTTCATATATTGTTGGCATTTTGCATTGCTTTGACATCTTGCTGAGATTAGCATTGTATAATTTTCTTGAGTGCCTCTTCTTCATGCCTCGGACTGACTTGGCCTTACTTCAACTCTGTCTCCTATTCTCCCTTTCCAAGTGGTAAAGCCAAGAGCTCTATTGCAGTGACAATTTTTAATGCAATTGTCGTGTTTTGGCATTGAGTTTTCATTGCGCTTTTCTTTTCCATGGCTTTCACTGTTTTGTTCTCGTATATTTATATTGGCGCGCGACTGTTGTATCCTTGGGCTCAGGTGTCCTGCACACTGGCACAGGACTCTATTATCATTTAAGGTGTCTCTAAATGAAAATACCAACAGATTTTTGGCTGACAACTGTTGCTACCTGACAGTTGTGCTCTAAGACCCTCCCTGCTACACGAAATAAGTCACTGCACACTTATCACACACACAGCAAGCCCGAGGCACAAGGCAATCGAACGCAATATTGCTGGGCTGGGGTGGGGAGGAGAGGGTTTCGGGCATTGCGTTGCTGTGGCACAACCTTGCATCTTATTTGATATCCTGCTACTTGTGCAAAGTAATTGTTTTTGCCTAAGATTCTGCCTCAATATTTGTTAGTCACTCTTGTATCCGGCTTGGTGTATTTGCCATTTTCCTTATAGACAAAAGTATGTCGCTGAGGCACCCTGCTAACCACTTGCATTTGGTATCTTGGAAACGCTTTCATTCTTGTTAAAGTGTGAAATAATCGGTTATTACCTCCACGAACGCATATTTAAATCTACAAGTAAATATTAGAATGCACATAGCAAAAATATCTCTGAAATTTTGCATTTATGCTTTTAGAAAAAGCAAAAAAGTACATTAAAATCGCTGGGCTTATTTTAGAATTTGGTGATCACTTAAAAAACATTCCAGAATTTAGAACATTTTGATTTTGGCTGGCTCTTAAAAGGTTACCTTCCGCGAAAAAAGTACTTCATGGTGATTTTTATCTGAGTGTTGAAACAGCATTCCATTTATGTTAATGCCTGAAATGCACAATTTTTTAATTTTTGATTTTTCATTGAAAACTCTGTTCAAAGACTCTGCGCTTACCAAACCCACTTAAAATTGCCACTTACTGCTAAATTCCATAAAAATTGCTTAGCAACTGATGCATTAATTTTCGAACTTCGATTTTTTGTACAAAAACAACATATTGCGAACAAAAATTCCATCAAATTAAATGAAGAATTTTAAAATTCCTACATGCTATACCATACAAAATACTATGCAGAAAATATATAAATCAGTAAGATTGACAATGATATGCAAGCGAGAAATATTTTTATGCGCTATAATGGTTTTGTGATATTGGCACAAGAATCATCTCCGATCCTGTTTAGTATCTATCTATCGACCTAGCCATGTCCGTTTGTTCGTCCGTCGGTCCGTCTGTATGAACATGCGTATCTCGAAGACTATAGGAGCTATGTATATAGAATCTCGTGTACACACAGATTAAGTTTATTTCATTTTATCGATACCTGCATCCGTTTTTTGAATATCGATACATGCCGCTCACTCGACTACAGCAATCTTTCTTATTTTTAATTCAATCTGTGTTCTTTTCTTTGCAATCAAAACATTTATAATTTGAAATCTACAAATGTATTAAAGTTTAGGGCAAACTGTTATCTGGGTTTAAAGTGAACACTGAAAGCCATCTTTTAAAAATGATTTTGTAGTTAGAAACATATTTTTTTTGATTGGTTTTAAGGGCTGCAATTGTATCCCGAACGAATAAATAGGGATACCAAATTGCAAGACCATACAATATATATATGGCATAAAAAGCTATGACAGAACCAGTCTTATTCAATTTTTATTTTCATAATTGATGGAATTCTAATTGCTTTGAAATGTTTTTAGCAATGTGTACTTTATGCTAGACTTCCAAATCATAGTATGTAATTTAAATAAAATTGCCAAATTTGAGTATTTTTAGGACACCTTAAAATAATGTTGTGCTTTTGAAAACAATTTTTTACAAGTATTTTTTTTCGCTTGGCTTGGCATAACTTTTCCGTGTTTAGACATCTTCATCCCGTTTTAGGCATTCGATTTAAAAATACGTTTCAATATGCTATTTTTGACTGTGGGAGAGCATGGAGCGTATGCGTGAAACGCTATGCTTGTGTGGCCTAAAAAGGCTTTTGGTCGCTTGAACTTTAATACTCAGTTTGGCATTTGCCACATTTGCGAGTTAGCCATATATCTATAACCTCTTTCAGCCTACATACAGCATATAGACATGTATATGTGTATGTGTATGGTATGTTGCGAGTATGATAAATTCTACGGAATGCGCCATAAAGTATGCAGTACTATGTACATACGTATGACAAGTGCTCAACTGAAGCTTGGCATATAAATCGCAGCATAGTTTTCGGCCATCATAAATCATGTTATAACTGCTGTGAATGGTGGGAGAGGGTGACTAGAAGGGCTGTGTTTGTACCAATGTATGTACATACATGTATGTATATCACATAAAACGAGGTGAAATAAACTACATGGTCTTCATCAAGTGTTTATATATTAAATGATTTTATTTTTTTCCAACATTTGACATGCATTTTCTGTACAAAGTAACTTTTAAGTAAAACGTGAATTCAACCGCGATAAAAAAAAAAAAACAACAAAAACACAACACACGCACAAAATACAGGGAAATTTACTTAGTTAAGAGAGACTGCTTCGTTTTTTCTACTTTTTTTAACGTGGAGTCTTGCAAAAGCTAACAAAATAAAAACGAAATGAAAGGAAAAAAATATAGGATGAGTAATGACTCAGAAAAAATTGGCAACGATGCATTTACGCAGTTGCCATTTAAAATTTAGAGTTTCTAATAATATGGGCAAAAGAAGACGCATTATTTACAATAAATGCTCCACGTGAGAAATATTTTCAGCCGCTAGCTCCATGCTAGGGTCGTTGATGGTTTGTGACGGGTGTTACGATGTAATGCTGAATGCTGTGGGTCATCCCGAGCATACTGCTCTAGTAGCCATAGTGAATGCCATGGCCAGAGACGGATGTGTGCACCAGTGCGGGCGCAGCAACGGCGGCCCTGCGTAAAAATGAGATGATTTTGATGATGATGAGGAGCATGAGGCGATCCATCTCTATTTATAAAGCCCAGCGGCATTAATTACTCACTTAAGAACGGGAGCGGCAGCCAAATGCGTGGTATAGGCGGGTGCTGCATAAGAGTGTGCGGCGTAGGCGGGTGCTGCGTAGGCGGCCGGTGCAGCCAGTCCAATGCCGTGTCCAATAATGCCAGGTGCTGCGAAGAACGAATACAAGTTGCATTAAAAACAAGCGGCAGGAGGGTAGGCAGGCAGGTAGACAGGTATGCGAACAGGAAGGCGAATAATCAGTGTGGAGCACGTTTGATATACGGCTGCCGGGCGCCAGGTATCGAACAAGGATCCATAATCTCAAAGCCCGACTGCTTGTCATCACTAACAATGGGAATGACCATGTCTCAAATTTTGTTTTGGTCATTGTTACAAGAGCACAGAGAGCAGCTTGAAATCTGAGCAGGTTGGGCCACACTCGGGCACATGAATACGAACACGTCTGACAAGTCGACATCAATCAACTGACATGCCAAGGTCTGCCATTTTGTATTGTCAAGCGGGCATATTTTACACAGCGACAACAGCTCAACGAAAACGGCGAAAACCGTGACAGTGACGGTGACAACGTACTGAAGCTGAGCAAACCAGCAGTATGAAATGTCCAAGCGCAACAAAGGAGACTTTAAATGATACTTTACCCTCAATCTATCAATATAGCATAAAAGAGCAGATGGGACTGACAATTTTCATAGAGCTGCTTACAGTAAGTAGTTGTCTGTATATAATTTTTGAAATTGTAAAATAAATTGAATAAGTATAAATTCAAATAGAAGTAAGTATATATTCCATTAAGGTACGACAAAAGATGAGATGAAACTAACTATTCGAACCGAATTTATTACAATGAGTAGTTGGTTGCTTCACTCACATTCTTACTTCACTTAAAATGCTCTCATATGTGAAATGTGCATTTAGACAAAAAGATAGTCGCTGACTGCTGTTTTGGCAGCTCGCATGGCTAGCCAATGCCAAATGTCACTTCTCCAAATGACTGACAAGCTGACTTGCCCTATTTTGAGCAGCAAGGACTTATGATCATCATTATCATCACAATCATCGTCATCGTCATCGTCATCGTCATCATCACGACCATTGACCCGCCACGTGTCGAATGATTTAAGGTAGTTGGCAACAATGAATGAATGATTAATTATACGACATGCGTTGGCCGACATTGCTAACAAACCCCCACTTCGCTCATATATTCGTTCAACGATTGAAAATATTCATTTATGAAATGCGCAACACGTCCCTATTTGTTGATAATATATGGGTGGCTTTTCAGTTCAGTCAGGGAGTTGCTGGGCTTTATGGAATATTGATGAGATAATTACATAATGTATATTACCTGATATCTATCGATTAACTTATAGCCCAGAAAGGTTGCACTGAATTCTTGCCGAGTATACGCCAAGCAGACCGCATAATAAAGTATTTATATGCAGACTCGAAGTTGCAGCATGCTGTCGTTGATACATTCATTTATATTTATATAATTATTGAACCGACGAATGTGTCTTTCATTTTTATGTGTTATGGTTTTTGTTTGTTAAAGCTATGAGCAACATATCCACATATAACAATTTAAAAATGTTTGATTCCTATGTAGGTTATCGCCCTAAAACATAAGTAAGTTGTGTTATTAAGCATGGAAAACTTTTTTGTTTCTACAAATATTTTGAGAAAAGGTGTGTTTGGCTGGCCTAAGTTCAAATAACTGATATACAATCATTTGAGAAATGTTGCTCTTTAAGTATCTATCTAGTTTTAATCATTCATAGTGCAATGCTTGCAGTTGACAATAGTTTTAACTGTTTTCAAAAACGAAAACAATTTGTTTATGTTTTTGTCAGCAAAAGGAGCAAGTGCAAATTCTCAAAGTTTATCTCACTTTGTGCCAGTGCACAACTCGTGAAAATTATCCAAGTTCTGAAACTGCCCGCCCTCGTCATGGGTCAAAGAGTTAATGTTTACTTATTTTTTTACAAGCACGCGCTTTTACTACTGCTCCCTCATCCCCCGGCAATCCCGCTGCCTATCTGTCTGAATGCAGACATGGCCCGAATAAAGGTGTGCTTTGTGTTTACAAAGCATAAAGTTGGTTTTGGGCAAATGTACTTGGTCAGTAAAAGCGAAAGTACGACCGAACAATAACGTCAAAGGACTAAAGCTGCTGCAGCTGTTTGCCAACCGCAGATCACTAAAGTGTTAAGGAACTGCAAAAAAATGGTTAAAATGATTGGTAGAAAATTAGTAAAAGCTACGTATCTACAAGACTAGCAACAAAGCGTTAACGTGTGCAAAAGGTGCAGGAGATTAGAGTTTGGGATGTGCTGGAGGCTGCTAACTGGACTTTGTGGCACCTACCATAAGCTGGAGCGGCGGCGGCAGCGTACTTCACAACTGGAGCATGTGCGGCAGCCAGATAACCATGCGACAATGTCGGTGCAGCAACATGAGCACTATAACCAAGGCCATAGCCCAAGCCCAGATGCGAGCCGCCCGCAAGGTGGATAGCGGGCGCGCTGGCAGCATAGTGGCCGCCATAGCTATAGGATGGGGCAGCAGCAGTGGCATAATGGCCACCATAGGCCAGTGCTGGAGCAGCGGCGGTCGCAAAGTGAGCACCGCCATAGGCCAATCCATGTCCGCTGGATGCCAACTGTATCTGAGCGGGTGCAGTGTGTCCAACAGAGTAGCTAGCTTGAGGCGCCGCTAAATTCGAATTGTGTTTTTTTCGGGTTTTTGTTTTTTGTGTGTTAGCATATTAACTACTTGCATATTCAATAAGTGCCTTGTGCGCTTTGTGTTGTGAATGTTGTGCATGTGCAAGTGTGAGTGAATGAGTGAGTACTTATTGAGTGTACTAACCAGCATAATGAGCGGGCGCCAAACCACCATCGTTGCTGATGCTGGAGCGCTGCACATGGGACTGAGAGTGGGCGGTTTGCACTTGGCTGGCATAGTCTGATTGCGATGATTGGCCATAGTGTCCCTTAACCGTATGCTCCTGTGTGTTGCCAACGGAGCCGTGATCCACGCTTGGTGCATTTATCGAGTAGGCAGCGGGGCCGCCGGGCTTGGCCTGTGCGCAAGCAATCGCCATTGCGGCCACGCAGAAGATGAGCTGTATACGCGTAAATCATTTAAATACAGTTTAAACAGACAACACACACACACACACTACGCCATGCATAAATCAGTGAGCTTAGCAGCCACTTGACAACTCTTTTGTATTTCGTTTACATGTCGACAGACAAACACAAGGAAATTGCAGGCGCATCAACTTTTAATTAAGTTGCCAAAGTAGTTGAAAACTCTCTCTCTCTCTCTCACACATACACACTTTCTCTGTCTGGGTCTCTCTATCTCTCTATCTCTCTCTCTCTCTCTCTCTTTATGTCGAGAGAGCCTACCCTATTTCGTGAATGCCACACGGCAGCCGTGTACATTTGCTGCCCTGCCAAGGGCAATGCGGCAAATACGTCTTATGTACAATATACTTGCTTGGAAAGCGGCCATAGCAACTTTTTGTTGTGCTTTGAGCTTGGCAAACTGTTTTAACATATGGCATCTGCTTATCATACCATATACCTGCTTAATATCATAACTACTCGTTAGCTGCCCCTCGCTACTCGTACATTCAAACTCGGTCCACATTTGGTATTCCCTTGGTACATTCAGCATTATTACTCATTACTCGCAAGTAACTATTCGTCGCCTTTTTCTCGTTACTAGGTTTCGATTTCTCCGCCTTTCTATAATTATTTCTCATTGTATCCCTTCTAATTTTAGCTTCTTCTTTTGCTAATTTTTGATTGCCAACTCGTTACTATTTGTGATTTGCTTATCGTTTCTTTTTGCTCGCTACTGCTTCTATTGAATTTTCATTTTGAACTGGTGCTTACCTAGATTTTGTTTGGCCATGATAGAGAATTTGTAGGGTGCGTTATTTCTTTTGTTTCTGCTTTGGTTCATTTGTTGCTTTTTGCGATTTTACATTTACATTTTATAAACAATTCCTTCGAATTTCAATTTACGCGCAAAAATGCAAAAAAAAAAATATGTATATATATAACAAATAAGAAAAACAACAAATATTTAAGTGCTGGGTGAGTTGGGCCAACAGGGAATTTTTGCTTGCCTTCTTTTATTTAAAATTTATATCACTTTCGTTTCGTTTCCATGTCCTTTTTTCTGCTGTGTTTTGTTTTCTGCATGGCAGTCTGCCTCGTGCTTGACTTGACGCGGCTTTTATTTGTCTTTGGGTATTTATCTGATTTTAATTAAGCGTAACCGACTGCCGGACAGGAAGTGGGGGGCAGACCGGCGGGAGGTAGGACAATATCATCCAAAAATAAAATGAAGACAAAAATTAAAGCAAGAATAGTATAGAAGCTTAGCTTGAAGGAGCAGGTTTAAATGGGCAATTTTAGTTGAGCCAATGCAAAACTTCTCACATGAAATATTTGTATGACTTGAAATGACTTTTGCTCATTTCATTGACCCACTTTACCTTGGTCGCTGCTCAACTCCTATGGCATTATCTTAATTTGTTTTTCCTTTAACATTGTCATCGACTTATGGCTTTCGCGAATCAAATATGTTTGTTTTGACTTCAAAATGGACAAAGACTTTATGGAAACTTCATATTTTCTGATCTTTTCATACCTACCTAATTCGCTGATGCTGCCTAAAAATTACAGTTGATCGAATATCAAATATACGTCATACGAAGAAAAGTCGTACAATTCCCGCCACACTGTACTGTGCCAGTAAAAGAAACCGAGAACGCTCTTTGAAGTGTGGAAATAATAATAAGTGCAAAATAATATAATTTGAGTAATATATAGTTTTACGTCAGATGTTTTAAAAAGTTTCTCCCGAACTGTCATGTTTGCATTGTCAATTCAATTAGTAGAGGTACTCTAAAAAATGCACTAAAGTTTTTTGAAAACCCTAACAACGAATACGAAACAGCAATTTAAATTTTTAAATAACATTACACAAATGGCTAAATTATAGTTTTATCGAAGCTGAGCTGAATTTTGCACTTTTTGAGTGCCAGGAGTTATTGTGGCCACAAATGCAATTCAATCAAATTGCAAGGACAATTACAGCCAGCCTTGAATCTGTTACACCTGAGTGCAAGGGATAGTCGCAATTGCAGCTGAAATCTCTCCATTGTCTCTCTCTCTCTCTCTCTCTCTGTCTCGCTCGCTCTCTGCCTCTCTTTCTCTCTCACTAACTCACTCTTTCTCGCAAACTCTGGAAACAACAACAAAGTGTATCCTGTCGGGCAGTCAACTTGTCAATCTGCCTTGCTGTTGTATCACACTTGGGCACACACATACATACACACACAAAAATAGACACACATAGACACACTTGCATACACTTCAGTACTGGGCTGACACTTTTACGCACCTTGAATGCCATTTTGAATGGGTTTTATTGATTGTGTGCTGTTTCACGTTCAAAAAAAAGAATATAAGCAGTTGTTTGTTGATTTGCTGCACCGGGCTGCTGGGCTTCGAATCGAAAACTGTCTCAGTATCGCGTTCTTTGCGTCTATTTATACCATGCCACACACACAGGTATGGCTGGGAAAATATGGTCCAGCAACAGCAGCAGTCGCAGCCGCAGCAGCAGCAGCCACGGAAAACTTGTTTGCAATTCGTTGCGCGTTGACTTTTTGGCAAAGCAGGCAGCCGCGGGTCCATTGTGAATATTCGCACTGCACAGGCGCGGCAATGTAATGCAACGGAACGTGGCGCAGATGCAGACGCCGACGCTGCTTGTAGCTTGCAACTCGCAGCCAACACCCGCCCTAAGTTGTTGCTCTGCCCATTTGTTGATTGCCGTTCAGTTTGCAACAACAACAAATTCAAGTTAATCGAGATCACATCATCAATGCCATTGTTTAATTGGAAAATGTTGTTGAATAATTCGTTGATTCGGTCAAGGAAATTCCAATATAACAGCTTGCCAAAGTATGCGGCAGCAGGAAACCCCAACTTGCAATTTAGCCTGTTTGCTTAACAAAGTCAACAGTATTAACAAGAACTACTTACGAATTACTCGCTATGATTGCAAGCTATATATACGACTAGTCTTTAAGTCACTCAACTTATTTGAAAATTGAAATGCAGTCAAGCATCTAACTGGAAATATAACCAATGAAGCTTCGCACTGGAAACTAGACTTTTAAAATAATTTCCAAACAAGAAAAAAATAATTCACAAAATTTGAAAGGCTTGCCGTAAATTTTAGAAATTTTTTTTATTACTAAAAGTACATTTCATAGGATTATCTGATTCGATTATTATATAAGAGTTTAGTTGTTGTCTACAGCCCATAGACCAAGGGTGTAGGCGGTTCGACTCTCCGTAAAATCATCCGTTTTTTTCAAATGAAATGAAATGCATTTATTATAAAGCTACCTAAAATGTTTTTTATATGTAATCTTAAGAAACTAATATTTATTAATAATATAAGCAACAAAAAAAGTAATGGTTAAAATATTGGATTTATTTTTTAACTATTATACAATTTTACTCTGAAATTAAGAGAAAGAAATATACTGTCTGAATAATTAGGTGAGTTACCCTAGTGGCATAGGTATGGTGCATTTCTAAATTTCAAAGCCATTTCTTTCCAAGTGTCAGTCGTTGTTTTCTACTGATTGCCTGCTATTAATCATGCCAAACTTTATTTACCTATTTTCAATATTCACTGCTCACTATTCGGTTGCATAATTGGCCGTTGATTATGTCCATAAAATTGTAATATTTAATCAGTCAATGTCAAAAAACTTTTTCCAAAAATTATGCGTACAAAATTCGTATTGAATGGTATAAGAAAATGTGACTAAAATTCAGTAACTGGCAAAGCGTTGCGTCGTTAATTGTTCTGCCGCGAAAACATTGAACAAGTTACAGCTGCTCCTTGAATCTAGTGCAATGGAGGCAACTCTCACAAGTCTGCTCAGCCCCCACATCACACATAGACACACACATACATACACACACGCATATACATTGCATAACTGCATCTCCATGCTCAATACTGTAACGCTCCATGCTTCATGCAGCAATCTTGCAGTCCAAGTCACGACTTGGGCAACGCAAAAATTGTTCGACCCACAAAATCGAAAGCCAACTCAGATTTTAGCAGCGTGCGACATACTATACAAAAAATGCCAAAATCACAAATCAAACAACGTACAAAAAGGCCTCCCCTTATCCAGCCCCTCTCACCGCCTGGTCCACTGTTGTCAGAGCATTTGAAAGCGAAAAGACAGGCCCCGATTTTGGGGCCACGCATGGATACATTGGCTGGCCCTGGCTGGCTGCCCAATTTCCGCGCCTTTTTGGCGGCTGCTGCGTGAGAATAATAAAACAACAAATAAATTGAGAATGAATTGAAAAAAATCAAATTTACAAACTAGGCCAAACAAGTATAACTGCAATTTGAGCAGAAATTCCCAGTCAAATACTGAGACCCATTCGTAAAGCACTTGAAGTTAGCAACGCGAACGATACGAGTACCCGAGAATTTTTTGAACGATTCCTTTAATTCACTTATTCATTTAATATAACGACATAGGAAATGAGTTGTCGCGTGTATGATTAATTAAATTAAACACAATATTTCAACATGAGAATACGTTTCGACTATAACTTTTTTGTTTCTTGTTCGACCTTCATAAAATGTTTTCAGTTGATTACATATACATATATATAATATATTTCATATCGAAATGACTAGATCGACTAAGCTGTTGATAGTAATCAAGAATATTTAAACTTTATGTGATCGGTGATGCTTGCACCTATCTGTTACAAGCCAGTATACCCTTTTTACCCATTTTCAATTGGTTCAGAGACTTTCAACAAATGCACTCTAAGGATTGGAATGTTCAATAGATGAGCTGCTCCTGCTCTTGTTGCTGTTGCCGTCAAGACAAATAGCGACAGTTAAGCACTCTAACTGCATTTTGGTCGCTGAATAAAGATACAGTTTTCAAGACATCAGCAATCGATGGCCATGCGCGATAATCTTGCTCATATTGGTTTTTTTTACCACTATTTGGTCTGTCTGAAA